AGAGGACCAGTAGGGAGGCGAGGATATACATTCCACGCATCTAGGGCCCCTACAGCACGCCGACGAGCACTTGGCGACTTCGAGATACTCTTCGTCAGGCTGGCAGCACGGAAAGCAGGCGGCCCAGCAAGCGCACATCCCGATCCGCCAGCTCCCTTTGCAGCAAGCGCCGCAGTCGCAGGTCCAGTTGCCTGCACACATTCGAATTTGGCTCAGCAATATGGGAGTGGAGCGGGCGTCAGTAAGTCGAGACGCGGTGCCAATGGGAAGAGTGTGTATTCTCCAATCTAAGAGCGCACAGCATGGCTTGGCGCAGCAGCAGTCGTCGCAGCACGGGCAACTCGAAGCGCAGCAGGACTCGTGCTCCGGGTAGTGCTTGAGCGATGGGTGCTGCGATGTCGAAGCGGACCGCGTCTTTTCGACGGCGAGATAAGCCTTGGTCGGCGGCTTCGAAGCTGGCACAGGTGCGATCATTGCTCAACCCGCCTCGATCCGAGATTACACCTCCGTCAATCCCCTCTGCTAATGGATACACCTCGCATGTAACCAGTTCTCGCTCATCCACCCACCCTCCTCGACCTTCCCGACGATACCAGCGGGCCCGCCTCCACCTAGAAGACTGGTGCTGGGGGGTGAGTGTTCCCTGCTTCCGGCCTGCCTGCATATACCTGAGCTAGGTAGGGCCTGAGAGACCTCGCTGGAGCCGAGGCATAGCGGCGTGATTTCGGACCTCCACCACCCTCGTCATGTCCCGGGCTGTGTGGCCTCAACCCTAGCCGGCCCGCTGTTCCTAGGGTTACGCGAGCTGTCCAAAGCTGTCACAGCTGGGGTTGCAAGACCTCAAAGGCCGGTCATCCACCACCCGAAAGTGGCCGCCCTCCCCTCCAGAGCGCCGCCACAGCCGTCGTGCAAAACGGCCCAACCACCGACACACTGATGGACGACGTGCTGGTGCCCTGGACCAGCGCCAACCTGGTCGAGAAGAAGTCAAGCACAGCTTCTTTAAAAGAAAGAAAGAAAAAAAGAACTCAAGGGAGGGATGGGAGGACGGCACGCCGCCACCACACAGGGATTTCAAACTCCTTCCGCTTTAAACGCCGCTCGAGAACCGCGAAAAATTATAGTCAGAGGCTGCGCAGGCCGTCTCGTTTGCATGATCGCAGAAAAAACGGTTTCCCACAACATGTGTCACACACGGCGGCTCCGAGGCGCCTTTGAATGAGCACGAGCCGGTGCGCGGCGGCGGCGCGGGTGATGCAGCCCAAGGTGACGGCGACGGCGGAGGGGGCGGCGCCGGCGGCGGAGGAGGCGGCAGCGGCGGCGATGGCCGCGGGGTCGGCCCGCCCGCCTTTGCTGCTGGTGCTGTGGGCATCATCACAGCTCAGCGGCGGTGTGCGACCAGGGCCAGTGGTAGACTTTCGACGCGGTGAGGCTGCTCTTTGAGCAATGACACTAGCAAGAGCATCATGTGTGTCATCGGAGTCACTTGTATTACGATACCACCACGCCGCCACGCTCGCAAGGGCCGCCTAAGCGCCTAAGCACCCTAAGCACCCCCCCGCTTAGGCCGCTTAGGCGCTTAGGCGAGTGACGGCCGGCTGCCCGGGGCCTGGCGTGCCTCCGCCGTGGGCTGAGCGCCCGGGAGAGCCACTCTGCAAGTGGTGTGCGAGCGTGTAGCCTTTAGCGTGCAGTCGGCCCCCACGCTTCCCTAAAACGTCTAGGACGAGCTCAGAGGCTAAGGGCGCATCATGTGGGACCATCTAGCTCTACTGGGTCCGCGACGGCGGTCGGCGCACCCCCGTCTCGAACGTGTGTGCTCTCTGTCTGTCTGTCAGTTGTTTCGGCTAAGTCGTTTTGTACCGGATTTCAATGTTAATGGCAAAACCGCGGAACCAGGCCGCTGCCTGAGCTGACTGAAGCCGTCGTAAAGCATCCAGACGAGGAGCCAGCACCTGAAGACCCGCTGTATGCCTTGAAAGCTATTATGGAGGTGCATCCAGTGAAACCTTATGTAGTGCGCGGCCCTCCAAGTGCTCCTCCTCCTTGCTTCGGCTCCATGCTCTCGTTCATTGCTGCTTGGCTTGGCTTTGTCTTCACTGCTGTTGGCATCACGCCCGCGACGCGCCGCCGTGTGGCGCACGACGCGAACCAGAGAGACGGCTGCTCGAGTCGATCGAGCGCGACGCTCTACTTCGCTGCGTCGAACGACCTCTCGGCGCGCCACACATGCGCTGGCCGCCTTCGCGAGGCACCCTCCCGAGTGCCCTCGAGGCGCCCCCTAGCTCGCGGCGTGCCTCCTCGTGGCGCGAGATGCAGACCAGAGGCGGCTGCTCGAGTCGATCGAGCACGACGCTCTACTTCGCTGCGTCGAACGACCTCTCGGCGCGCCACACATGCGCTCGCCGCCTTCGCGAGGCGGGCCGCGCCTCCTCTACACGCACCGCACGCCTTCGCGCCGCGTGCCTTTGGCGAGAAGGCCGCCTGCAGCCGCAGCCGCCTCGCCGCCCCTTACACGAGCATGCCTCATCTCGGCATACTCAGAGATTCATAGCGGCCGCCCGCTCGAGCGCGCCCTGCGCCTCGCTAGGGCTCACTGGGCTGCTCCAGCGCGCCCCCTTAGCCGCACAGGCACCCTCCCGAGTGCTCTCGAGGCGCTTCATCGCTATCGACGCGCCTCCCTGTGGCGCGCGACGCAAACCAGAGGCAGCTGCTCGAGTCGATCGAGCGCGACGCTCTACTTCGCTGCGTCGAACGACCTCTCGGCGCGCCACACATGCGCTCGCCGCCTTCGCGAGGCGGGCCGCGCCTCCTCTACATGCACCGCACGCCTTCGCGCCGCGTGCCTTTGGCGAGGAGGCCGCCTGCAGCCGCAGCCGCCTCGCCGCCCCTAACACGAGCATGTGCCTCATCTCGGCATACCCAGAGACTCATAGCGGCCGCCCGCTCGAGCGCGCCCCGCGCCTCGCTAGGGCTCACCATGCCGCTGTAGCGCGCCCCTCAGCCAGACAGGCACCCTCCCGAGTGCCCTCGAGGCGCTTCATCGCCCGCGACGCGCCGCCGTGTGGCGCACGACGCAAACCAGAGGCAGCTGCTCGAGTCGATCGAGCGCGACGCCCGACTCCGCCGCGCTGGGCGACCTCTCGGCGCGCTGCACATGCGCTGGCCGCCTTCGCGAGGCGCCCTGCGCCTCCTCTACACGCACCGCACGCCTTCGCGTCGCGTGCCTTTGGCGAGAAGGCCGCCTGCAGCCGCAGCCGCCTCTCCGCCTCTCACACGAGCATGCCTCATCTCGGCATACTCAGATATTCATAGCGGCCGCCCGCTCGAGCGCGCCCCGCGCCTCGCTAGGGCCCACCGGGCCGCTGTAGCGCGCCCCTCAGCCGCACAGGCACCCTCCCGAGTGCCCTCGAGGCGCTTCATTGCCCGCGACGCGCCGCCGTGTGGCGCGCGACGCGAACCAGAGACAGCTGCTCGGGTCGATCGAGCGCGACGCTCTACTTCGCTGCGTCGAACGACCTCTCGGCGCGCCACACATGCGCTCGCCGCCTTCGCGAGGCGCCCTGCGCCTCCTCTACACGCACCGCACGCCTTCGCGCCGCGTGCCTTTGGCGAGAAGGCCGCCTGCAGCCGCAGTCGCCTCTCCGCCTCTCACACGAGCATGCCTCATCTCGGCATACTCAGAGATTCATAGCGGCCGCCCGCTCGAGCGCGCCCCGCGCCTCGCTAGGGCTCACCGTGCCGCTGTAGCGCGCCCCTCAGCCAGACAGGCACCCTCCCGAGTGCCCTCGAGGCGCTTCATTGCCCGCGACGCGCCGCCGTGTGGCGCACGACGCAAACCAGAGACAGCTGCTCGGGTCGATCGAGCGCGACGCTCTACTTCGCTGCGTCGAACGACCTCTCGGCGCGCCACACATGCGCTCGCCGCCTTCGCGAGGCGGGCCGCGCCTCCTCTACACGCACCGCACGCCTTCGCGCCGCGTGCCTTTGGCGAGAAGGCCGCCTGCAGCCGCAGTCGCCTCTCCGCCTCTCACACGAGCATGCCTCATCTCGGCATACTCAGAGATTCATAGCGGCCGCCCGCTCGAGCGCGCCCCGCGCCTCGCTAGGGCTCACCGTGCCGCTCTAGCGCGCCCCTCAGCCGCACAGGCACCCTCCCGAGTGCTCTCGAGGCGCTTCATCGCCCGCGACGCGCCGCCGTGTGGCGCGCGACGCAAACCAGAGACAGCTGCTCGAGTCGATCGAGCGCGACGCTCTACTTCGCTGCGTCGAACGACCTATCGGCGCGCCACACATGCGCTCGCCGCCTTCGCGAGGCGCCCTGCGCCTCCTCTACACGCACCGCACGCCTTCGCGCCGCGTGCCTTTGGCGAGAAGGCCGCCTGCAGCCGCAGTCGCCTCTCCGCCTCTCACACGAGCATGCCTCATCTCGGCATACTCAGAGAGTCATAGCGGCCGCCCGCTCGAGCGCGCCCCGCGCCTCGCTAGGGCTCACCATGCCGCTGTAGCGCGCCCCTCAGCCAGACAGGCACCCTCCCGAGTGCCCTCGAGGCGCGTCATCGCCCGCGACGCGCCGCCGTGTGGCGCACGACGCAAACCAGAGACAGCTGCTCGAGTCGATCGAGCGCGACGCTCTACTTTGCTGCGTCGAACGACCTCTCGGCGCGCCACACATGCGCTGGCCGCCTTCGCGAGGCGGGCCGCGCCTCCTCTACACGCACCGCACGCCTTCGCGCCGCGTGCCTTTGGCGAGAAGGCCGCCTGCAGCCGCAGCCGCCTCGCCGCCTCTTACACGAGCATGCCTCATCTCGGCATACTCAGATATTCATAGCGGCCGCCCGCTCGAGCGCGCCCCGCGCCTCGCTAGGGCTCACCGGGCTGCTCTAGCGCGCCCCTCAGCCGCGCAGGCGCCCTCTCGGGTGCCCTCGAGGCGCTACATCGCTATCGACGCGCCGCCGTGTGGCGCACGATGCAGACCAGAGGCAACGGCTTGAGCGCGACGCTCGACTCGGCCCCGTCGCGCGACCTCTCGGCGCGCTGTACACATGGGCCACCTTTGCGAGGTGTGCCGCGGCCGTGGTGGTTATCTGCTCCGCCTACACGCGCAGATCGACCAACGCTCGAGTCGACAGTCGCTCGGCCTAACCTTCTTTGCTCTTGCAGCAGCAGGATCGCTTGTCTCTCGCTGCGCGCCTCCGCTGCCTTCGCGCAAGCAATCGCATCAAGGTGAGCAATCGAGAATAGCTAGCATATCCCGCCCGTAGCGACACACTTCGGTGCCGCTCAGCGAGCACTCGGTCGCCACAACGAACACTGACTGACCCACATGCACATCGGTCCTGTGGTGGGCGAACTCTCCGGAGGAGTTGTGCCCGGGACATGTGGGAGCGGCCCGTGGCGAGTGCCCCACGGGCCTTGCTATACGAGTGCCGCCCCGTCCCCTACCGGCCTAGCCGGGAGGTTCAGCGGGTTAGGGTCCCCGTCGGTACACCAACCCGACCGGCGCGGGACCCTATCGGAGCCCCGCGTTCCTCATATCCATTGAGCCCCACGTTGTGGACGGCGAGCTCCCTACTACTGATCACCCCAGCATGACGGGGATGCATGAATGGAGGATGGGAAGAAAGCGCAAAAACATGCTCGCTACCTCTCTCGCCCCGCGCCACGACGGCCACGCCGACTCGTCCCGCGATCTCGCTACTGCGACCTCGAGCCTGATCAATCCGCAGTCCATCCTTTGCTCGACGCTCAATCCAAATGCAGCCGAGTTCAAGCCCAACCAGTCATACGGCTTCGCCGCAAACCAGCTTTTCGACTCAACCAAGACCTCCTCTCTGCCAGCGCCGAACATCTCGGCGCCCCCACCATCGACTGGCCCTCAGATTGTCGACAAATCGACCTTGCCCGACACATTCGCGCCTCCTCCTCGCCTGGCGCCTGCCGTGCCGTCCTACGCACTCCACGCCGCACAACAGCACCCAACTCCGTCACATCCCACCATCCCCGAGTACGACCCACAATACCCATCCCTCCACGGCGACATCTCCACATCCAGTGGCGAGAGCGCCGACGGCAAGCGCCCCAAGATCGGAGGTCCCACGCTCATAGAGATTGCGCAGAGCTCGATGCTCAAGCAGGAGCTCCGACGCAACCCGGAAGACCTGCGCCTCCTCCTCTCCTACCTCCCACCCTTTGATGTGATCAAGGCTGGGTATCTGTCCTACGAATTCACCTTCCCAGTCAAGTCTGTCTTCGATTGCAAGGGTCGCCCTTACTTCCACAACGAGATCTACATCGGCCGCGGCGGCGACCCAAACAATCCGCTGTACCACGGGAACATGATCAAACCGCGAGATTTTCACAACGTCCTAGACGAGGAGCCAGACGGCCTCATCATCTGCATCCGCATACACGCTGGCGTCGTCCTCTCGGAGGAGTGGCGCTACCAACGCACGGTGCACGACCTCGCCGGCAAGTTGCCCGTCTGCCACTGCCCGACGGGCACGCCGTGCCACGGCTGGGCGGACGTCTGGATATCCAACGCTCGGCGCTCTGAGCTGACCTACTGGATTGACCTCATCCGCCTCTCACCGTACGGCCCGCGCGCCTCGGGATTCACAATCCGCGCACCGCCTCCAGACCCGCCCCTCCCGCCCATCCCCGAGAGTGCCTTCCTATCGTCAACCCACATTGCACTCTCCGCACTGTCGGTCGCCTTCGCCTTCGTGGGTTCACACAGCGGAGGAGATATCTACACCGGCCTCGCCCATGATCTCTACCTCTGGCTCACCTCCATGGTCTCTCCGCCCGCCCTCACCGACTCACGCTCCAAGATCATTACGCTGCTCACCGACACGGCCGCCCGAGAGCGATGCGGCACCGCCGCACGACTCGACACGGACGCCGTAAACCTCCTCGCGCTTTTCACTGTCCAGA